AGCTTGCTGCGGCTCTATAGACAAGAGAGAGCGGGGCACACCCATGTGCTCTCTGTTAGATGCAGCTAGCTGCAGCTAGCTGCTAGCAGCTAGCTGCAGCTAGCTACCAGCTAGCGCTGAGCCTGTTCGCTGCACACCAGGCCCGCAGCTACGACACACAGTCGCTGCCTCAATATATATGGGGCTGCATGCGCGCGCAGCTAAAATTTTTTGTAAGCTTGCTGGCCTGCAAGCATGGAGACGATAACTTCTCCCCTACTGGGGGATCGGGATCGATGGGATCGGGATCGGGATCGGGGTCGAGTGCGGGAGATATCCATCCCCCCGCGCCCAGGCCCCGCCAGTGCCCTCACCAGGGGTTCTTTTGTGCAAACATTTTATTTTATTTTTTAAATATAGATTTATATTTTATTTACACGAAAACATGAAGAAGGCAAGGCAAAGGCTCAGAAGCCTCATTGGGGGGGGGAGGGGGGGGGGGGGGGNGGGGGGGGGGGCCTGCAGCTGCATAGGTAGCTGCAGCGACGCCGGTGATATACTTTGTGTGCTCAACTTATCTTCCTTTTGTTGTTTTGTTTTAAAATGTTATTTTGCTTTGGTTTTTAATTTATAGGGGATATAAGGAGCTTCAGGATCAGCAGCAAAGAAGAAGATGCTGCTGCTGTAGCTAGCTACACAAGGTCACCTGAGGAGGTGACCTGCGGTGTATGTACAGCCACTGGCTGTCGCGGCCCCGTTCATATCGAGGGCCCCGGTGGTTTATCTTTGTTTATTTATTGCAATTGTTTTAATAAAATATATATTTGGAGAAGAAGACGGGGTAATAAAGCGGATCTGCTTAAGGTTTCTCTGTAGCAGCCTATCTCACCTGCATCTAGATTGCCTCTGTCTGTGGCTCTTTGCGGGTCTTCTCCTCTATGATGAAGCAAACCAATGCAAATAAAAAGTTTTAAAGAAAGAGAAAAAGGATATCTCTTCATACACCCCTGCTGGTGCTGCATCGTGGCTCGCTGCAACCTGCTCAGCAGCACCGCTACTCTGTAGATACACCCCAGCAACGCACATCACTCACTATACACCTCAGCAACCGAAATCTTCGCAGCTGTACTTGAAACTTATACCACCAACTCCCGGCTGTGATGCGCCTTCTGTTCCTCTCCACCCCAAAGCAGCTATTCCCTCCCTGCTGGGGCCTCAGCAGGAGACAAAAGAAAAGAGAGACAGACTAGCAGCAACCGACAGCACCCTGCCTTCCTAGAGAAAAGCTGCTGCAGCCTAGGGCAGATGCAACACAGCCTGCTGCAGCAGCTAGTAGGCCTGCCCCTTAGAACTGCCTATTGGCCGCTACACTCCCCTCGCCCCGAGCACTCATCTCAGCAGCAACAGCAACAGCTGTAGCAGCAGCAACAGCACAAGCAACAGCAGCAGCAGCAACTGCAGCAATGCTTAAAGCAGCAGATAATACGAGGACATACAACACGAAATAACTTTGGAACGCAAAAAGAATAGAGCGGCGGGCTCTTCTTCCCTGCTGCTGCTGTTGCTGTTGTGGCTGCTGTTGCTGCTGCAGCAGCAGCAGCGTGGAGGCGTTCGGGGGCAACTTCAGTCTCCTTAATATTGCTGCAGCCTTCCTACCTTTGTCTACTTACCGCAGCAGCTGCTCGGCAGCACTATAATGGCAGCGTGCTGCCGGGGCAACCGTTGGCAGCAACAGCAGCAGCAGCAGCACCTGCAGCAGCAGCAACATCCGCAGCAACAGCAGCATCTGCAGGAGCAACAGCATCTGCAACAGCAGCAGCAGCAGCAGCAGCAACAGCAGCACCGACGCTCATGCTTGCACTTCTGCAATGGCCTGGCAGGCCGGGTAATTCCCTGCTGCAGGTGCTTAGGCCGCAGCGGGAAGCAGCACTCTGCTGCGCTGCATCATCAGCAGCAGCAGCAGCATCAGCTGGAGCAGCAGCAGCAGCAGCAGCAGCAGCAGCAGCAGGTGCAGCGAGCAGCAGCAGGTCCTGAAACCTCTCTGAATCGCACAAGTTCGCTGTTGATATCTTCTGCTGATGCAGAAGAGAGCGGGACGCTGCAACTAACAAAAAAGGCATCCTTACAGAGAGAAGCTGCAGCAGCAGCAGCAGCAGCAGCAGCAGCAGCAGCAGGAGAGCAGACACGATCAGCAGCATCTGCCGAACTCAGAGGCACCAACGACGATGTCTTCTTTGCTGGAGGTGCCTATACACCTGAATGGGCTGCAGCACAGAGCACCTTCTCTCTGGGTCTAAGCATGGAGAGAAGGTCTCCTTCTTCCCTCATAAGTTTCCCAGACTGCAGCAGCAAGAACAGCAGCAGCAGCAGCAGCAGCAGCAGCAACAGCAGCAGCAACAGCAAATGGACCAGCAGCAGCGCAGCCAACGGCCTCGGCTCTTTGGTTGCATCCGATGCGGAGAAGGCAGCAGCAGTAGCGGCAGAAGCCGTGGCAGCAGCAGCCTTGAGTTTTAGTCTGCGTTCGCAGCAGCAGCAACAGCAGCAGCAGCAAATGCAGCAGCAGCAGCAGCAACAGCAGCAGCAGCAGCTACTGCTGCTGCGGCCTCAGCATACACCTTGTAGCTCCAGTATCTCTGCTGCTGCTGCTCCAGCACCCACCAGGGGGGATGGCCTCTGTCGGCCGCAGCTACCGGGGGGGCTCTACGCAGCAGGCTTGCAGGGTCCCCTGGCAGCAGCAGCAGCAGCAGAAGTGGATAGAGGCGATACGTGGCAGCAGCTGCAGCAGAAGCTGCAGCACCAGCGGGAGGCGTTGGCAGCAGCAGCTGCTGCTGCATCAGCAGCAGCAACAGCAGCAGCACAGAAGTTGCGAGTTTCCGCTTCCCCGGATCTCAATGCCCCTCAGCTGGCATTTGTTAAGGAGCTCTCAGGGCAGGAGCTGCTGGAGCAGCAGCAAGAAGAGCAGCAACTACTGCAGCAGCAGCAGCAGCAGCAGCAGCAGCAGCAAGAGCAGCATGAAGGGCTGCCAAGAACTCATACAGTCATTGTTAAGAGACACCGCAACTACAGCTTCCCTTCTTGGCCTCTAGCGAAAGCTGCAGCATCCGCAGCGAGCTCGCCCAGTTGCCAGCAGCAGAAGCAGCAGCAGCAGCAGCAGCAGCAGCAGCAAGTTAAGCAGAGGATGCCTGAACTACGCAGGACGCAACATGGGCTGCCTGTTGCTGCTGCTGCTGCTGCTGCTGGGCGCGAGTCGCCTGCTGCTGTTGCTGGCAGCAGAGAAGCAACTGCGTCTGTTGCTGCTGCTGACGAGGAGCAGCAAACCTTCGCCCCCTCCCTCTTCTCCAAGGAGACCCTGTGCGGGGTCCCGCTGCACAGAGACGCAGAGACAGCGGGTTCGCTCCAGCCTCACAAGAAAAAGGGTTTAGGGTTTAGGGTTTAGGGTTTAGGGTCTAGGATCTAGTCTAGGGTCTAAAGGTTTTAAGGTTTAGGGTTTAGGGTTTAGGGTTTAAGGTTTAAGGTTTAGGGTTTAGAGTTTAGGGTTTAAGGTTTAGGGTTTAGGGTTTGTTGTTTTCAGAAGGAGAAGACGCAACAGCTGCTGCAGCAGCAGCAGCATTCGTCGAGGCACCGCTCCTACCTCCCCTGCATCGGCCCCTCAGCCGCGCCGCCACCTTCACTGTACGTACACCAGAAGCCTGTATCAACGCAGTGTCTGCTGCTGCTGCTGCTGCTGCTGCTGCTGTTGCCCATGCTGTTGCTACTGCTGCTGCTGCTGGTACGATGTTTGCTCTTTGCTGGTGCTAAAGCCAAACTAAGGCGACATCTTCGGCGTGTATCCCTCAGGATGCCGTTGCTGCTGCTGCTGCTGCCCGTGCTGCTGCTTCTGCTGCTGCTGCTTCTGCTGCTGCTGCTGCTCACTGCGTCTTCTCCTTGCAGCAAACAAAGGAAAACAGTTTTCTCTGTAAGCGTGCGCACCCGCAGGACTGTATTGGGGCAGTGCCAGTGCAGCAACAGCAGCAACAGCTGCTGCAGCAGAGGTGGCTGCAGCAGCAGGAAATGCAGCAGCAGGAGGTGAGCTCGGCTGCTGCATGGTGGGAGGAACAGTCATCGTCTTCTTACCCGCAGCAACAGCAGCAGCAGCACCACCACCACCAACTCCGGCAGCAGTGGCACGAGTACCAACAGCAGCAAGAGCGATATCCGCGAGAGACAAGTGCAGCAGCAGCAGCAGCAGCAGCAGCAGCAGCAGCAAGAAGCAGCCAAACAGAAAGGCCAGAAACAATAGCAGCTCGGCGGCTGCCTCGAAGTCCCATGACCCTCGGTGAGGAGAGACAGAGACGCCACAGGAGACACAGCAGCAACGGAGAAGCTGAAGCAGCAGCAGCAGCAGCAGCTGCTGCAGCAGCAGCAGCAGCAGCAGGTTATAAGCTTTCTTCAGGTGATGGTTTGCGTGGAGATGAGGAATGGGGAGACACCTCAATGGCTCTGAGCCTTGAGAGAGACAGAGACAGAAAGAGAGACAGAAGAGAAGACACTGCAGCAGAAGGAGACAGCGACAGCAGCCAGTGTGGTGCTGCTGCTAAGGTGCAGCAGTACTATGGAGGAGACAGAGACAGAAGCAGAAACCGAGACAGAGACAGAAACAGAGACAGAAACAAAAACAGAGACAGACACAGAGATAGCGATCCAGGCGGAGACAGAGACAGAGTTAGAGACAGAGGCAGAGACACAGACAAATTCAGAGAAAGAGAAAGAGACAGAAACAGAGACAGGGAAAGAGAAAGAGGAGACAGAGACAGAAACAGAGACAGATACAATGAAGGGGAGAGAGTAAGACAAAGGGACAGAGACAGAGCCTGCTGCATATCCAGGCTGTCTTGCTGCGACCCCGGCCGCCGCAGAGAGACAACCCCCCTGCATGCAGCACACTTCAGGGGGAGGCTGAGGCACTGGGGAGACAGCCAGGGGGGCCAGGGGCAGCGAGAGGAGACAGCAGCAGAGGAGACAGCAGCAGAGGAGACAGCAGCAGAGGAGACAGTCGGAGACACTCTGCGGCCCTCAGACTCCATCAAGTCCTTCTCAGAGCCAACGATCGTCGATGCAGCAG